CCTATGGATGAGGACAGTGGGTGGGGAGTGAGGGCGGAGGGTGGGGTGGGAACTGGGTGGAGGGGAGTTATGAGGGGAAAAGAGGAACAAATGTAATAATCTGAACAATAAAGATTTAATTAAAAAAATTTTTAAAAAGCTATATTTATTGAAGCAAATTTAAAAATTATAAAAACAAGTTTTTGAGAAGCAAATGGCAGCCAAATAGATAGATGTGTCCTGTGCCTTCTCTTGGAGCAGATAGAAGAAACAACTAAATCAAATATCACCTTCCCAGAATTGATGAATTAGACAAGGCTGGTGAAAAAAATCTGAGCCAGAAAGGGCATAGGACATATGGTTTATTTGTTTGTTTTGTGGTGTTCTCTCTCTCTCTCTCTCTCTCTCTCCTCTTTTCTCTCCCCTCATCCACAAGAAATGCACATTAATTAAAATTCAATTTTAGATGATGTTGTCTATATGGAAATACAAGGTCATTGATGTTTAGTATAGTTGGGAAAGTCTGAAACAACAAGGCAAGGTATGGTTAGTGCATTTTTTGTTTTCTTTTATTTTAACTTTACTCTGAGCTATCTCGCAGCCACGATTCTTCCATCTCATTTAAATACATGAATGTGTGTGCCCCATACACTGCTTTGACTACCTTCATTTTCTGTGTCCATATCTCCGCAAATTGATTTTTACCAAAGTAACTGTTTAGCATGTTAATCAGTATTAGTCATTTCTCTGTCTGTATTTCCTCCTGAAGAGTGTGTTTCTACCCTTACCTCCTTATCTTTGTAGCACCATAAGGAGACATATTGGTTTTACTTGAAAACAACATGGGTTTTTTCCTGGGAAAAGGGCACATGTGCTAATAACTTGGAATGTTAAGCAAATGCAGTATTTTGTCCCAGATGTGTCCTCGGGAGCTTTAAGAGTGCCCTGGGAACAGTAAAGTTACAATGTTCAGCTCTGCCACATTCTGTTATCCCTCACCTTGGAAAACATTAAAACTGAAAATTAAAAAATGCATAGTGAATGAATAAAACATAAGACTCCTTTGTCCTTTTATAATACAGTAAATTGTGGTAAAAGCAGAGAGATAAGAAATAAAATCATGCTTATGTGTTTCAGTTCACCACATTTTGCATTTTGTGAAAGTGCTCATCTTCATAGTGAACTCATGTAATGACAATGCCAATATTCCCAGCATTGGAAAAAGAAATTAGTGTAATGCCATTAACTTGGCAAAATATTTGTATAATCTTTGTGTTACTAGAACCCTTCCAGGACATGTGGTAGTGCCTCTCCTTTTAATAAATGTGGTTATTATGCTCTAAAATGTAATCAGTAGAGATTCTGACATATTAAAAATGTAAATACATGAGACATATGCTACAAATATATAATCGTTATTTTATATCTTCAAAATGTCAAACTTACAGATAATACAGACTTTTTTCACTGATAATTGAATGATTTTTCTGGATCATAAAACCTAATCTCTATAATTTTCTTTCTATCGGATCACAAATAATGGTTAGTTCCCGAATAGTGGAAAACAGAAGAGACACTAAAATTACAAAGAAACAAACCAGAAATTTAGAATTTAGGAATTCAGCATATGTAGGTTAACTTAAAATTTGCTGATTCCTAAGAAAAATTGTAAAGTTGCCTCCTTCCCCTACCTTTTTGTTTTTGTTCTTTTTGCTGTTGCTTCCAGAAGTCCTAACATGTACCACTTGCCATTTTAGAGGCATTCCAGTTTTCCAAATATGTTTGCATAAACTATTTCCAAATAGTTTTCATAAAACTATTAAAAGGCAAAGTTTGAGTGGTATAGTTTATATAGGGGGTTTAGTGTTTCATATCTCTCATCAATTCAGGTATCCTTCTTAGTTATTGTTTTCATCTAAACATGGCCTTTTAGCAGGAATAGATTTTTGTGAATATTGTCAAATCTGATTTCAAATCCAAAACTCTGTTGCCCAAATTGGAATATGTGGATTTCATTTAGTTGAAAGAGAGAAGGAAAAAAACAAACCCTGCTAAAAGGCAGAAATTTTAAGGCCATGTTTAGATTTTAAAGTAACCATTCTTCAAACTTGAATGACCTTTCCAAGATTGAACACATAGAAAGTATTTTAAATTCATATATCAAGGAAATAAATCTTAGAACAAAGCATTCATTATTTTCAATGATTTCTAAAATCTGGGACTCTTCAGCTTTTTAAATGTCAAAACACATTATTTGTGGATGATCAGAGCAACATAAAGTGTTTTTTTGGGGCAGAAAATAATTAAACACAAAATCAAGCATAACTAATATCCTTGAAAATCTACCAAACATTCATTTAGGGAAGTGTTTTTTTGTTGTTTTGCTTTTGTTGTTTTGTGGGTGTTTTTTTTTTCCTTCTCTCTTTCAACTAAATGAAATCCACATATTCCAATTT